AAACCTAACCTTGCTCTCTTATAAGAGACCGTGTTAAACTGTCTATATTTCATAAATTTTTCTCGAAAATTTCCCCTGGTGTAAAATCTGGAAAAATTTATGTGCACTCCTAAAATGCTCAAATATAACATACATTTTTTTTGGCACGTTTCTCCATTTTGAACTTATCTCCCAAACCTCCTTAACTTTTAAAATTGTTGTTTATATATGTGAGCAATAAATCAACTATATATTGTATGTATATGTCTGTGTACAATAGGTTGGCATAAACTAAGCGTAGATACAGTCTTCATGCGCAAGCTATTGTACAGTGGAGGCCGTTTAATTCGTTGAGCGGGAAATTCAAACATTTAATTCTCATTGGCTGATTCGATCACATAACCTCCTTCATTAGTCAATTTTATACTTCCCGCTCAACGAATTAAACGGCCTCCACTGTACAGTTAGTAGCATTGCGATCGTTGACGTGTACAGACGTTCGCAACGATAGGTCTTCTTAGAGCTACTACGTATGTTGTCAAGAAAGACGTCTCAAGCCGCTTTTGCTTTGTTACGTACAGTAGTCCACGTAGCTGAAGCCTGTGTAAATATATGTAATTTAATTTGTATTAAAAGTGTGTGTGTGTGTGTATTAGTACAAAACTGATCAGTGTATCTATTAAAGAATATATGAGAGCGCTTTTTAAAAAGTTGTTAGTTATATTATTAACAGAACATGTATTTCTCCATTCACCTGACCACTGCTGCAACATATCTGCTAATAAAAGAATAATAGATATCTTATAAAAAAATAGTAGTTATTAATAATTGTTAAAGCGCATGTGTAGTTTAGCCCACTCTTTGAGAAGTTGGCTTCATGAGATACTTATTACGACAGTGCAACCAACTTTTAATTATGGAGATCATGGCTGAAAGTGGTGGGTTATTCAAACTTTTTAAAAATTAAATAATTATTTTTTAAGCAATATTATTATTTGTAAATTTTTTTTTTTTTACTAATTCCACACATACATGGTTGGTTACTCTACTCTCGGTACTTCGTAAGATTTGGTTATCTGTTAGAACGCTAGCGAGTGAGCGCAGCTCACAAGGAAGCCATTACTGATTATATTTATAAACTTTTTCTTCATATATTCCAAACATATCGATAGAATTTGATTAGTATTTTTTTACTTCCCGCTCTTGAGTAACTTACACTTTTGAATTTGGAGCCTTACGTTGTGATGGTAGCACTGTCTTTTTTGAAGCAAACTTCTCGGAGGATGGGCTAAACTACACTTTCGCCATTTTTTAAGAACAGTTTATTATTATTGTATTACATTACTTATCAGATAAAAAAAATAAAAAGAAACTTTTA